TAATTTTATGATGGTATGCACACACAATTAATATTTAAGAGAAATAGTCGCTGGTTAATGTCCATTCAAATAACGGACTCAACTCCCCCCACCCCCCCTTCCCACTCTCGCTGGCTCCCTCCCTCCCAGAGAAATGTTTGGGAGAAAAGAATAGGTTTTTAGGTTTAGTAATAAATAATACCTCATACTATGTTTAGGATCATATAATTGACATTGCTGGATTCCTTGCAAGACTGCGAATAATTTGAATATAAACGTCGTATATTTTGCACAAAAGATACAATTTTTGCTCTCTAATAAAATTCTTAGATTAGATCTAAAATTTGTATGTCTAATGCAAGTTTTAGCTTGTTTATATTCAAATTAATCACTATCTTATAAGAATTCCAGCAATGTAAATTATATTCTGGCCGGGTAATTTCTATGAATTTTATGAGCTAAAAACAAATATCTTCAATAAATAAACAAATTATACTTCATCCAGACACAATACGTTACGTACGTTGTAGTAAAAATAACATCTTAATTTTATGATGGTATGCACACACAATTAATATTTAAGAGAAATATCAATAATATTAGGTTTTTTAACATTTACTTAGTAGAAGAGATGGCTGGGTACACGGGGATTGGGGTTGGTTCTGAGACAGAGGGCAGATTATTTGGCCCTCACCTGTATCACTATCTGCCACAGAGGCTTGCAGGGCCTCTTTGTCAAACCCCTCAAAGTCCATATCCTCACTATCACTGACTTGGGCTGGCTGTGGCGGGTGAAGAACTCGGTAATGTTTTGTTGACTGGACGACCTTGTGCGCACCCTACCCTTGCCGCTTCCCCCGTAAATGATGGAATGAACCACGTACATAAAAATTGTCGGTCTGGCAAGGTGCCGCATAAATGACCAAACGCGTAAATCAAATCCGGGTAAATTGAGACTATACTGTGTATATAATATATATATATATATACAGTTGAGTCAGGATTTACGTAGTTTTTGTTTACGCGTTTGGTCATTCACGCGGCACCTTGCCAGAATGAAATGTTTTAATTACGCGGTAAATTTCATCATTTGCACGGGTGAAGTATAATTTGTTTATTTACTGAAGATGTACAGTGGCCCCTCGGTTAACGAACTCAATCCGTTCCAGAAGGTCGTTCGTTAACCGAAACGTTCGTTAACCGAAACCATTGTTTCAATGGGTTTTTGGGTAATTGGTTCCAGCTCACCGAAAATTTCCTAAATTCAAAAAAAATGGTAGAAAAGTTCACTTACTTTGAGGTGTGTATGTAGAAGGCTCCTGGATGATGATGATGATGATGGGATTTAGAATGGGGGTGGAGGAGAAGGAAGAAGAGAAGGCATTGGGGTGGAAGAGAAGTCACCCCATGGTGCCATTTCACCCATAAAATTTTAGCTCTCTGGTTTAATTCAAGATTATTTTCTTTAAATCAACGCTGCACTGCATTATATATTGTCAATATATAAAATATATTTCAAAATGACCAATAATTTGCTTGGAAACACAGAAAAAAAGCGTTTAGTTGAAGAGAGTCTCAAGCAAGATGTTACCTCCAGTGAAAACAGAGAGAGACTGACGCCTGTTTGCTGTGTTAAGAGGCTGGATGCCGCGCATTAAACTAGTCACTTTACCTTCAATTTTGTTCAATAATTGTTAAAATGACTAAAAATTGAATATTAAACTTTTAAAATTATTGAATAGTATAAACTTCTTGATATTTACAAAAATAGTAAGGAATTTAAGCCCTAGAACCGATTAATGTATTGGCGGACTGATACTAAAGCTGGTTGCCCGGTCAGTGCAAGCGAAAACATGTTGAGGTCGGTTCGTAAGAAGTTCGTTAAGCGAATTTTTTTTCGTTAACCGAATTGAAGATCCTTATGGAAGGCAGTTCGTTAATCGAAATTACGTTAACCGAGGTGTTCGTTAAACGAGGGGTCACTGTATATGTTTTTAGCTCATAAAATATGTAATTTACATTGCTGGAATCCTTAGAAGATGGTGATCATTTTAAATATAAACATTTGCATTAGACATACAAATTTTAGATGTAATGTAAGGAGATGATGAAAATTAGCAAACATTTAATCTTTTGTGCAAAATATATGACGTTTACTTTCAAAATATTCCCTGTCCTGCAAGGAATCCAGCAATGTCAATTATATTATCCTAAATTTAGTCTGAGGTATTATTTATTACTAAAAATGTAAATATACTGTTTTAACTCGAACATTTCTCTGGTTAGGAGGGAAGGTTGGGGGATAGGGAGGGAGGGAGGGACCCAGCGAGTGTGGGAAGAGGGGGGGAGCGGGAGCGGGAGGTGGGGTACTTTGATTGACAGATAGTGTCTGGGTGAAGTATAATTTGTTTATTTACTGAAGAAATTTGTTTTTAGTTCATAAAATTCATACAAATTACCTGGCCAGAATATAATTTACATTGCTGGAATTCTTACAAGATGGTGATCATTTTAAATATAAACATCTTAAAATTTGCATTAGACATACAAATTTTAGATGTAATGTAATGTAAGGAGATGATGAAAATTAGCAAACATTTTATCTTTTGTGCAAAATATATGACATTTACATTCAAAATATTCCCTGTCCTGCAAGGAATCCAGCAATGTCAATTATATTATCCTAACTTTAGTCTGAGGTATTATTTATTACTATACCTTAAAATCTAGTGTTTTCACCCAAACATATCTCAGAGAGGGAGGAGCCAGCGAGCGTGGGAAGAGGGGGAGTAGAGTCCATTATTTGAATGGACATTAACCGGGGGACTGTATTTCTCTTGAATATTAATTGTGTGTGCATACCATCATAAAATTAAGATGTTATTTTTACTACAACGTACGTATTGTGTCGGAAAAAGTGGAGTTTGGGGTCGGCCCAGTCTCTATTTCAATTAATCCCATTTGTTCTGTTATTTCATTTATGCATTTCTTATTTTACGCGGGCCTCCACGGGTTCAATTGACCGCGTAAATGCAGACTCCACTGTATATATATATACAGTGGGGTATGCTATAACGAACGTAATTGGTTCCAGAATCTCGTTCGTTATAGCATTCGTTCGTTATAGGATTAATCCGTTCCAGGCCCCCAAATACAACCGCTTAACACTGAAAAAATTCTGTGGAAAATGTAAAAAATACGGTACTTTATCTTACCTTAGTGTTATTCAGCATGCAGGTACCCCTAAACACTGGCACATCACTATCACTTCCACTGGGAGTCTTGGCTTTAAGGTCCTCAAACAATTGTTTAGCCTTCTCACAAATTATAGCTTCACTAATGTTACCACCTGCCATTTCTTTCTCCTTTATCCACACTAAGAGTAAATTTTCCATCTCTTCAATCACATTACACCTTGCTTTGCTAAGTCTAAAGATTCCCTTAGCCACTTGCACAGTTTTTAACTCCTCTTTATTCTTCAAAATCGTACATATAGTCGATTTAGCCATCCCATATTCATCACTAAGTTTCGCAATGCTTCTTCCATTCTCACGTTTCTTTATAATTTCTTTCTTAGTTTCAAGGGTTATTAGCTTTCTCACTCGCTTTGGACGACTCATTGTTACAATTGTATACTTGTATAACAAAATAGTTATACAAATAACGCGAATTTCCACATCAAAAGACGAAATTTCAACAATAACAGTGGTGCACTGGCTACACAATGAGACAAAGATGGCGCCTGACGCTCTTGTTGTGGGTCGCGGTACAACAATATTCATGCGCCAGGCGAAATAGTCCGGTATTCATCCGCGTTCGTTGTAGGAGTTGCGTTCGTTATAGCATTCTCAATTTTATAGGTAAAACCATTCGTTATAGGAATATTCGTAGTAGGATCCGTTCGTTATAGCATACCCCACTGTATATACACTCACGGTGGTTCCTCGGTTAATGAACGGTTCGGTTTACGAAATTTCAGTTAACGAATTACCTTCCATAAGAATCTTCAATTCGGTTAACGAACCAAAATTCGATTAACGAAATCCTTACGAAAATCACGTTTTGTTGTGAGCATCAGCTGGTCAGCTGATGGGCTAGTCTGCCCAGTAATCTGTTCTATGTTTACATTCATTTCCAATGGAGTAAATATCAATAAAGTGGTGCTATTTAATATTTTTGCATGTTTTATATTAAAATTATTAGTCATTTTAACATTTATTTAACATCTTGATAACATATGCAGTACAGTCGGTCACAAGGTGTCAGTCTGGCTTTGTTTACAGTCTAGACAACATGTATTTTGTTGGTGTCTTGAATATTTTTGCATATTTCATTGAAATTATTGGTCATTCTGAACTTTAGTTAACATATTAATAATATATAGTGCAGTGCAGTGTTGATTTAAAGAAAATAATCTTGAATTACACCAAGTGAACCTAAAATTTTATTGGTGAAATGACGGCATCAAGCATGGGTCCCCTGAAAGGTTATTTCTCCTCCATCCCCACTTCCTTCTCTTCTCCCTTCTCCTCCACCCCCACTTCTAATTCCCATCATCATCATCAATCAGGAACCTTCTACATAGGTACACACCTCAAAGTAAGTGTACTTTACTGCATTTTTTTTTTTTTTTTCTTACTTTGTATGTACTTTTCTGTGAGCTGGAACCAATTACCCAATATCCCATTGAAACAATGGATTCGGTTAACGAAATTTTCGGTTAATGAACGACCTGGAACGAATTGTGTTTGTTAACCGACGGACCACTGTGTGTGTGTGTGTGCGCGTGCGTGCGTGTACACCTGCTCCATTAGTTACTGTTATATGTATGTATGTGTTGTTGTTGTTCTGGGCTGCATGCTTTGGTCTGATAGACAATCATTATACAGTACTTGAATTATATGTAGAGAAAATTATTTTTATTAAAATTTACTCTTATTTTGTGTAAGTGATAAAATGGTTTCAAAATGCAGGGCCTCAATCGTTTTGCATGATTATTTGGGATAAAAGATTATTACATGTTACATGTTCCGTTTTATTATGTTTACACATAATTTTGATTTATATATTCCATCACAGAGGACACAGGCACAAAAAGGAAGATACATTTAGTAAATTTGACCCAGAAATATAGAAACTAGAACTCAAAATTGGGTAAAATTAAATGATTGTATAATTCTAAACAGTGACTAGAAAACTCCCAAAGACATGCGGTACTTTCACAAGTTAAATGTACGAGTATATTACTGGACTAGTGAACAGATTACAAACCATTCCCAAACAGATGAAAGTAACCTGCCTGATCAGTGGGAACACTTGAGTTAGGTAATAATCTGATGATGCTACAATACAACCAGTAGTTTTGCTCATGTGTAACAAATTAGTTATTCTAAATACCTGTAGTTAATACTCAGAAAACACATACTAGATGTATCATCTAGTTAGGTAACTGAAAGCTACCAAAATCAAAAGATATATATTTTATCTATTAAATAAAAATGCACAACCAAACATCAATACAGTCTGAGATCCCAACATAGAAACATTACACAAACATCAAGAGAAGAGAATATCCCTACAGCTAACAATTTTATAACATTTCCCAATTCAACCACTTGGATGAAGATTAGTTTAATTCATGACACTGACAGTAACAAACTCCACTTATAATACCAAAAATAATACCTGTACAAACGGCATAGCATATGAAGATAAACTCAGTTCATGAAACTACCTTTTGTGTGGTGCTAGGTAGCTAAACATTAGACTGCATCCACTTGCCTACATCCTACCACTTAATTTTTTACTTTGGGTGTATACACAGGAGCTGTGTAGGTAGTTGGATGTCTATGTTACACACAGTCAGTGTAATTAGGAAATATCCAGTTACCTACATGGACTCCATTAATATAGGTACTATAAAAATTGAGAACAATGGGAATTGGCAAGTCCCCTGGATACTATTTTTTTTCTTTTCCACTGCAGCACAAGATGGCTGAAAAAAAAGAGCAAAGGAAGGCTGTCCTTTCATTTGCTGTCATTCACTCACTCCTGAAAATATGGTCTCTCTTATGGCATTCCCCATTCACAACAAAGCCTCGAGATATTTACCATATTTGGTTTATCTAGGGGTGAATGGTTCGAGGGAAGACTGGGATTAAGGTCACACCAAAATTGAATGGCACAAGCATCTAAGAAGAAATGTGAATGAATAAAGCATAACTTTACGAGAAGCCACCTTAAAATACTTTTACACAAAGTGAAAATCAATCGAGTCAGTGGGTAGTTATAGAACAGAAACCAAATTTCCAACTGAGTATTGCTGTTAAATCCCCTAAGTTTCTAGTCAAGGAGATAATGCATGTGTATTCACAGGTGGACTTGATTGATCTAACACTGTTTATAACTTAAAAAGTACAAAAGCCAATCGGATACAATTCATTATCTCCCCACACTGTCAATTATAAAACCAACATTTGATGCCCTGCCAGGTATTATTATCTGGTCTTGGGTTTCAGATGCCTGTCATTACCCCTATAACATGTCAACCCTAAGATACCATAAATGCCTATATCTGGTCATAGATATACTGTATAGTAAATACAACTGGTCCACTGTGAACCCTTACATGATAATGCTACAGTACAAGAACAAAAAGGTTACTCTGGCAACCTGGACTTTGAAAAAAATTCAAGAAAAATCATGTGATGAAAAAGTAAAAAAGAACTGCAACAAAAAATCTACTAAAATGCCTTACAAACTATTAAAGATTCTTGGAAAATATCACATCCACTACAATGCATTAAAACAGCTTTTAAGAATGTGATATTTGCTAATACTGGACTGTGAATGCAACACAAAAAAACAAACATAGCAATGGGGGAATAAACAGTAAATACTGTACTGTATCCTGAACATGGTAAAATAATTAACAAGACACTTCCTTCTGTACATCAGTTCACCTCATTCACATATAAAAGTTAGGAGTAAATGTTCTATCGGGGAGTGCTATTGTCTTTGGCAACAATAATCTAACCACATGATTGTTTATCATACATCCTCAGTCTTTGTGCACTTTTTATTATTATTATAAAAAAAATCTTATTTACCTTGCTTGTGTCTCTTTTCATGATTCCCAATAATAGCACCTGATAATTCCTTGCTCCACTTGATGTAAGATCCCTTTGATGACTGGTGTCAATTTACGACATCCACTCCAAGATCATGTACTGGTAATGTATGAACTAGAGCCTTGGAGGATTCACATTGTTTGAAAATGTATACTGTATAGTATATTCATTCATGCTTAAAGGTCGCACATGTAGACCTACCAGCCGTTCAGAACACTTCACGTAACATTACTTGGAAAGCCCCGAATCACATCAACCCCATGGCTAACAATACTTTTTTAGAGACTGTACATCACAATAGGCTGAATTATGTTTTCTAGCTTGCTTACATTCATTTTCATCTTTTTCTTATCACTTGTTATCCTAAACTTCATTTGTTGAGATTCTCTATACATTTCCTTGGCTCAAGACCAATATTTATTCTAATCTAAAAGTATAGTACCTACAGAGTTTCAAAGACTTCTATTTGTATATCAAAGTGTACATGCTGTGGCCTCTGACAATAGCAAAACTAAGAAAAATTGGAGAATGCCAACACACATTCTTAAAATTACTGTGGAAATTAAAGTCAATTCATTAATACTGTACTGATAAAATTTTCATCAAATATGCTGGGTTAAGCAGATGATGTGTTTACAGCACCTCTGATGACTTAAGCACACATAGTCTTTGGAAAACTCGGTTGTTCCTAAGAAACTTGTTTGTTAGGTCTAGCTACTAAAAATAACTAAATGCATTATTCTGACTTGAGAATATATAAATGCCACCAATGTAATTTCTTCAGTTGGAAAGAATGCTTATATCTTTAAACTAAAATATAATAAATACTGTAAATAAATATAAAACCGACATATGCTTGAGCAAATGTATTAAGTGCAATCTAACTGCATTGAAGTAGAGAGTGAAAAATTCTTAATGACTACTGTATTACTCTTAAAGATTTTAAATATTTGAGCAGCTTGTCACATCGTCCACTTTCAAAGCTACTATGAATATTTCGCCCAAAATTTCCCTTTCCTACAAAAATTTTACATTTGTCAACCATATGCTAAATGTTAAGTACGTACCAAATAAAATCTGACCAGATGTATGCCAAATGGTTATTAATCATTTATGTATAGAATATGATCTCTGGTATCTGTCCATCTTCAACAGAAGTGCCATTGTTGTTGCCAGCAGCATAAGTGAACTGAAACGTTGCACGGTCCCCAGAAGGGCATTCCACTGCTACTTTGCGGACTCCTTTGGTCCCATAGTGTGAATCAGGGCCCTGAGTGTAAAAATTAAAAGAATTAACACCACATGAAGTTAACTGAAAATATCATAACTGTTTTACACAACAATCTTACCCTCTGTGACTTTAATGAATAACAGCCATTACCAAACCATACAACAATAAGATCACTGAGGAAATGCTAAAAATGAGAGATGGATAAATGAATAACTAGAGTATAGGTTATGTATGACAGGAAAAGATACCATAAGAACACCAAAGAGCATGTATAGTTCCACTGTATAAAGGGAAAGTGATTACTGTATAATGAATATGAACATTACAGAGGAACTGAATCTGCTGAGAATAACAGGGAAAGCATGTGAAAGAATCATCAAGACATTTTTGGGTAAAAATAGTGTGTTAATGAACGAGGATGTGTGAATCAAGTGTTTGCCTTGCCAGTTAAGAGGGCACTTGGAAATCCTACATATTGTATAATGCCCACTTCTGACTGTTAAAGTAGGTTGGTGATACGAAGGGCATTCAGCCGTAAAAGTTGTTTCAACTTTGCCTGATGGCACCAAGGGCACCATGTCAAGTAATCATGGCTAACCCACTCGAGTGTGGATAATGGGCCTGAGACAGTGATAATGATGATGATTTATGGATCTGGAAAATACACAAGACAAAGTTGATAGAAAAGCAATGTGCAAGGACCTCAAAATATATGGGACAAATGGGGTATTATTATATGCCTTTTAGAATTTCTATACAGAAGGTGATGCACAAGTCAGAGTGTGCCACTGGTTCCCAATGAAAGTAAGATTAAAGGATTATGACACATCACCATGCTTGTTCACTATTTTCATGGATGAGATAATAAGAGGGGAGCAAGGTCAGTAAATAAATAAAATATGAGAGTAGGGCCAAGGCAACAGGAAGTGCTATCAAGAAGCTGCTAAACCACCTTTATTAAGATTTTAGATGGCATCATTCTCTGGCTGAATGCAAAAAGGACCAATGTCAAAAAATTACAAATTAGACTTTGGTCCATGTAACCCTGATTTCATGGGCCAAAGTCTAAATTGGTCCTATTTACACAGCCAGAGCATTGTAACTGTTTAAGGAGAATTTCAATCGCATGTCAACTACTATACCATATCATTTTTTCCTATCTTTCAGTAGAAGGCAGGCACTGGTCGGTCATATCCACTTATCAACACATCTAAAATACAGTACATAACATTTGCAGCAACCTTGGCAGCACAAACTCATGCAACATCTCACCTTTAATGTAGCATAAGCGGTGTAGTTAGTATTGGGCAACACCTCAACAGGTTCCTTGAACATGACTCGAAATGTGTTCACTGTACCATCAGACGTAAAGCTTGTGTCGTTGCTTGCGCACACCTAAAAATCAATATCACACAAAGGTAAGACACAACATTACAGTAAGATACAGAAATTTAGTTAAAGGAAAATGCGAGATATTAATTAAACTGTTTATCAGACAGATATACACAAGTTTCTTCCATTCTTCAAATCCTGTTTGGTCCACATGTGGCATGATAGTTCCTATGATAAACCTACTACTGCATGCATTCTTGAAGTTTTGAGCAAAAACTCACAGAAAAAACAATTTGTGTCATTGTGAGGTGTTTCACTAATTATCCTTATCTGGGTATAATATTAAGTTTTGCCAGAATATCTTGCAGTAATATTTAATGATTGTTAATTTTGTTTTGTATGAAAATGGCATTAACATTTGAGTAAGAAATAAAAAAAATTTGCTGAAGGTCAGTTACGTAAAAAACAGATTGTAGACATGGCTTAGTTATCAGTACTGCAGTTCTATCTGCTGTAAAATGGTCAGTTCCTCTCTATAATACACAATCTAATTATTAGCTTTATACCATAACTAACACTGAGGGAGGAGGGGAGGTAAGATGAATTAAAAATTCTATTCTTCATTTCTATGACTCAATTATTACAAATTCTACTGCTGAAGAAGGGGTAAACTTGGCCCTCCCTCAGGAGATGTATTCAACAACAGACTGTACTGTATGACTTGCAGAAGCACATGTTACCTGCGTCAAAGTATAGTACGGTACTGTACAGTGGTCCCTCGGTTAACTAACACAATTTGTTCCACAGAGTCGTTCGTTAACCGAATCCATTATTTCAATGGGATATTGGGTAATTGGTTCCAGCTCACAGAAAAGTACATACAAAGTAAAAAAAAAAATGCAGTAAAGTACACTTACTTTGAGGTGTGTACGTAGAAGGTTCCTGGTTGATAATGATGATGGGAATTAGAAGTGGGGGTGGAGGAGAAATCACCTTTCAGTGGACCCATGCTTGATGCAGTAATTTCACCAATAAAATTTCAGGTTCACTAGGTGTAATTCAAGATGATTTTATTTAAATCAACACTGCACTGTGCTATATATTAATTATCAATATGTTAACTAAAGTTCAGAATGACCAATAATTTGAATGTAAAAATGCAAAAATATTCAAGACACCAACAAAATCGATGTTCACTCCACTGTAAACAAAGCCAGACTGACGCCTGGTGGGTGGGTCAAGCGGCTGATGGGCGCACAAAAAAATAGATCCCTGTACTGTACATATTATCAATATGTTAACTAAATTTTAAAATGACTAATAATTTTAATAAAAAAAAACGCACAAAAATTAAAGAGCATAGCTTACTTGATATTTACTCCATTGGAAATGAATGTAAACATAGAACAGATTACTGAATTGGCAGACTAGCCCATCAGCTGATGCTCACAACAAAACGTGTTTGTCATAAGGATTTTGTTAATCGAAGTTTTGTTCGTTAACCAAATTGAAGATCCTTATGGGAGGTACAGTCGGCCCTTAAACATAAGCCGGGGTTAGGTAACAGAGATACCCGTGAATGTTAAAAATCCGTGTACTTTTGCTGCCACCCCCACCCCCCTCCCCTCAAAAACCCCTGGCCCCCCCATGTCCTTATTTACCATATATACCGGTGTGTAGTTCGAGTTATTAAGACCAAATTATTTGGCAAAAAATTGGGGGTCGACCTCTAAACGGGTTATAGTTTCGTTAAGTTGAAAAATATTTTCCAGTAAACAATGGAAACGACGCACCAACGCACCACCAGCTGTGAGTGTTGGTACAGTTGCCAGGGCAGATCTCTTGCATCATCATAGCAAGCCCAAAGTAGCCAAATGCATGGTATGGTATGCACAGGATGATGTAAAACAAAGTACAGTATTACCCCGCTTTACAAGGTTTCACTTTCCACGATTTCTCATTTACGCGGTACCTTGCCAGAACCTGACTTTCACTTTCCGCGGCGCATCTACTCATATACGTGTGAAGTATAATTTTTTTTTTTTTTTTAGTTCATAAAATTCATACAAATTACCCGGCCAGAATATAATTTACATTGCTGGAATTCTTACAATATGATGATCATTTTGAATATAAACATCATGGATTTTGCATTAGACAAACAAATTTTAGATCTAATGTAATAATTTGGTTTACACAAAGCAAGTATTTTATCTTTTGTGCAAAATATATGAAGTTTACATTCAAAATATTCCCTGACCTGCAAGGAATCCAGAAATGTCAATTATATTACCTTAACTTTAGTCTGAGTTATTATTTATTACTAAAAATGTAAATTACTATTTTCTCCCAAAGCTTCTCTGGTAGGGAGGGAAGGTGGGGGGGGAGGGAGGGAGGAACCGACCCAGCTAGGGCGGAGTATTTTGATTGACAGATAGTGTCCTTGAAGAATATTTCTTTGTTTATTTAATGAAGATACATGTTTTAGCTCATAAAATTCATACAAATTACCCGGCCAGAATATAATTTACATTGCTGGAATTCTTACAATATGATGATCATTTTGAATATAAACATCATGGATTTTGCATTAGACATACAAATTTTAGATCTAATGTAATAATTTGGTTTACACAAAGCAAATATTTTATCTTTTGTGCAAAATATATGACGTTTACATTCAAAATATTCCCTGACCTGCAAGGAATCCAGAAATGTCAATTATATTATCCTAACTTTAGTCTGAGGTATTATTTATTACTAAACGTTAAAATCTAGTGTTTCACCCAATCATTTCTCAGAGAGGTAGGGGCCAGTGAGCTGGGAAGAGGGGGGGGGGGGATTTGAGTCCATTATATGAATGGACATTAACCTGGCGACTGTATTTCTCTTAAATATTAATTGTGTGAGCATACCATAATAAAATTTAGATGTTATTTTTACTACAACATAGGTATTGTGTTGGAAAAAGTGGAGTTTGGGGGTCGGGCCAGTCTCTATTGGAATTAATCCCATATGTTCTGTTGTTCACTTTACGCGGTTTTCACTTTCCGCGGTACCCTGTGGGTTCAATTGACTGCGTAAATCGGGTACTACTGTATTCATTTTTTAAAGTTTATTTATAGATACTGTACATAAATTTTTGTTCATTACATTTGAAACATCAATCTTTGTTAATTAAATTTGAAACAAAAGAAAACTACGGTACCATATTTTCATTAAAATATTACATCAGAAGTATATTTTACCTTAAATGTGACTGAATGAATATATTCTCAGAAATAAATATGGAAATGTAATATTACAGTGGAAAGTGGGATAAAATCATGACGAAAACAATGACTTTCGCAAACTTTCGTTGTTCAAAAGATTTTACCGTAATTGCTTTTCGAATGGTTTTCAGTTAAAAAACTGTTGTACCGTACTGTAATACAATAATATTCTATCCTATCATTAGCCTCATAATCCCACAACTGAAAACCATTCGAAAAGCAATTACGGTAACATCTTTTGAACGAAAGAAAGCGAAAGTCATTACTTTCGTCACAATTTTATCCCACTTTCCACTGTAATACGTACGTCACTTCAGCAAAAATATTACATTTCCATATTCTCTCCATATAAATAGTAGTTTTGTTGAAACGTAATGTATTTCAATGTAAATTAGGATAAACTACATGAAAGCAAAAGACTTTACCTAACCTTCCTATGTTCAAGCTATGTTACTCGTTTTTTTATGAATAGTTTTTGGTTAAAATACTGTTATATTAGTGATATTCTATTCATACTGTGCTTGATATAATACATTCATGGAAATGTAATATTTTTGCAACTACAATGCTGATGTCAACACAAGCGTGGTTACAGCGAGACTGACTGAGTGAGGGAGAGCTATGCATGTGTGTGTGAGGTTGCGGAGCGGGCGGTGTCCCGTGTTCGGTGCCGCGCGTGATTTGAATGTACTTCAAGGTACAGAATATTCCTCCGGTGGGCAATCTGCGGATGCTAAACCCGCGTATGTTAAGGGCCGACTGTAATTCGTTAACCTTAATTTCATTAATCGAACCGTTCGTTAACCGAGGGACCACTGTACTGTATTATGATAGTTAGGCAACACATTTACTTGGAGGCTAAGTTATAAACACATCTACTATTCTGTTGTTGGATTTGTTTTAAAAATAAATTTTTACTCATTAAAAATAAATAATTCAAGCTACCGGGTAGTTGGAAAACTTAAATAACGTTTTGTAGATTAGAAGACTACCAGATTACAGCTTTGCATCTCTGAATTAAAATATAATCATAACGTTAAAATAATGGACTTCGAAGCAGGTTGTTTAATCAGGACTGGATGCACCCTCCCTCTTAATCTAGAGTTGTAGGGATAGTTACCCCACCACCTTCTTGTATTCACTTACTAAAAGAGAATTAAAAGCATTAAAGACCAAGAAGATGTATGGATGCATATTGATATAATCAAAGTGATAAGGAGAGTGCATGAAAATATGATGAGTGAATGAAACATTGCTTTATACAAAACAGCTCTGAAGGTCTCAGGAGATGAGAACTGGAGACAAGTGAAGGGGAGTATAATCAAGGAGGTGTGAGGGAGAAAGAGAAAAAAGTGTGATGGAATATTGTGGGGAAATATGCAAAAGGAGCAAATTCACAGTAACAGATGACATACTAGAGGGCAAAATGTGAGCTAAACAGGAACTAGATAAGAATTACAAATATGAAAGTGAAAGAAATATGAAGCACAGGGCAGATCAGGTTTTACTTAAGTGGAATAAATTGGGAGCCAAGAGATTGTTTTGAAGACTATCTAATTCAGGGGTGTATTGTAGCACCAATGGTGGAAATCCAAGGAGATGGAAGGATGGGGTGTGGGACATTTTAGAAGTGCGTATGAGACAGCGATGACTGTGGTGTCAATTGAGTTTTTGGGAAGAACATACAGCTTTTGTCATTATATGTGGCTATGTCACTTGCCACAGTGTAATCCAAGGCAATGCAACCGTCAACAACTCTACACTATAATGATTGAGAACAATAATTGCCAAATTTGCTAAAAATTTTATGGTGACTTATCTAAATGTATGATTAAACTATACATGGCTACCTGTCTGAGTTATTACATTCATAAAGTTGGACATGCATGCATACATATATACATACACACACACACACACACACACATTAAATTTTTATGTTCCCCCTCCAGCAATGCAATAGAGGACAATCAATGCAATTTATAATAGAGTAAGTTGTTCCTTAATAAAAAAATATTAATTGTTAATATGTGAGCTAAACACCAAGTGGAAGGGAGATACAAAAGCATAACACTACTGTACTGTACCTTCCCAGTGGCTGTGTGGATGATCTGGACTGTCACTTCATACTCAGAAGGACCGTGAATGGATCCATACATTCCAAAACCAACAACAAAGATGCGCCGATCCACAATAAATCTGAAAAACGAGAATCATATATACTGTAATGCCATTTCCAGCACAATAATGTAAATTTGCAAATAAATATCTTGTTGAATCTATCTCCAATAGTAGTTTTATTCTGTACCTGTGTGAATATTATCAGAGAATACAAATATCAATAAATGAAAAAACAATTCTGTTTCTTCCCACAGTGCTGTCTCTACACAATGACTACCATACTGAGTTACAGTTTTCCCAAATATGCATTAGACTTCTGGTAATGCTATATAATTACCAGTGAAATGTAACAAAAATTAAGTGTACTCTACCGAATTCTGTCACTAGTGCCAGAGTAACCCCAGCGTGACTCTATCTGCTGGAATCGGCATACTGTCTGTTCCTTGCCCGTCATACAACAGCGGGGTACATCCAGGAAGTTTACAGGGGGTTTGGGGTTTACCTGAAATATGGAAATCTCAAAATAGCTTTACATAAGGTATACCACACTAGTTCTCCTATGTGATAAATTATATTTTTAGATGTTCAGTTGGTACAGCAAGAGAATCCTAACTCACAGTAAAATGAAGAAAGAGCTGAACCACTTCACGATCTGTCAAAATCCCAGACTGTGCAGGACCTTGGGCAAATTCTTCAACTGTCATAAGTGGAAACCGCACCAATGACAGTGCTCTCCCTAACACTGCTCTCTGGTTGGCACTTGTTACAGGCACACCATCACGCTCACATTCAGCTTCAGACCACCTGTATATGAAACATTCAGTAATACCCATCAGGTTGACAATTCACTTGATGACTCACTGACCATTAGAAAATTATTCAAATAAAATAAAAATTGGATCCAAATACGGTAACATGAACAGTGTAAATAAAATTATCACAATGTGCAAAAGTTTGATAGTAATACAACACACACAAGCTACAATGGAAGGATGCAGGGTTTTGGTAATAGTTCAGACAACTGAGCTTAGTATGGTAACATTAATGAGAGAAAAGTAGCCATAAAGAAAAACTTCTTTTGACAACCCAAATCTTCATCACAGAACCTCCAAGACACACTCATGTTAAGAATTTGAATTCCCTTGGATAGTACACATTGACAGAATGACTCGCATAAATGTAATCACTTCATACATGCTGTGCCACTAATAATAATATCAGGTCATCCAAATATTACCTGACTGTCGCCTAAAAGCTTAGCCTCGCGGATCCAAGAGTATCTCGTTCAAGCACCAAACACAGGGTGCTGCTGTCAATATCTGTGAAGCCTTCTGCAGCCAATGAGTCAGCTGTGTTTTTATCTATCGTCTCCAGGCAAAGAGCAGCCAGTTGGGGTTCATCAAAAAGTCGGGCCTAGAAAACATTAAATGGATATAATACAATTTATATACCCCATGAGAGTTGACAACATTAATATTGGAGAGGTGCAAATTTGAGAATGTTATAGGGAATCCCTAAATATAAAAAAAAGAGCCAAATCCTAAGGAATACCAACTGAGGTAATCTACTGATAATATTCAATTATCTTACCTGAGTCAGAAGCATAAATGCATTATCAGAGGACAGGTTGCGTTTGAGAAAATCCACACAGGCTTGCTCAAGGGCAGGAACAGCATACTTTTTTGCTGTGTACAATACTGTCATCACAGTTTCAGGACCAATTTGAACTTCATCACTGAAATTTATAAATATGACTTTTGCTCTGGTAATTTTCTAAAATTTTTCTTTATAGTATATTTCAAACAGCAAATGATGATGAAAAATATTTTGAACTTGAAATGTGTATGTGTTTTGATGCAAGAAGACAGATAACAGTGGCCAGTGATCACCACATAAAAATCTACCTGTACAAGAACCGCAAGAGCGCAAGAAATGCCTGTGGCTCCACATCAGGTAACTCGATCTCCTCCTGATGAGTGCTCAGTTGGCCATTAAACATAGCATCAAACACAGCACTGCCAACTGCTAAAACGAACTTGTGTGCAGGTATTCGCTGTCTTGAGTCACCTTTCCCCACCAGGAAATGAACATCACTAAGAATTTCATTATTGAACAGGAATGCAAATCTGTAATGAAGAAATTATTTCACATTAACACCCTAGTCAATATAGTAACTACAATAGTCATAATATAAAGAAATTAAAAAGCAAATAAATTTTTCAAAACATGTGTTAAAGGGTTTACATGGAATTCTTAACATATGGATGAGTTCAGATACATACATCTGCTACATTGGCCCAGTATCTAATAACAACAAGGGATAATGTTAAGAATTCAGTCTTGAGATACAGTAAATGGAACAGTTCAAAGAAGAAATTCATTTCTCTAATTTAAATTTAATACTCACTTAACTTGGTAAACTGTGACCTTCGTACTAAAATTAAAATTTAATTCTCTCAGAATGATATACACGTATGTACTGTATATTAATTTTCTAAGCAAAACAAAGAATCATGTTTGAAAACTGTTAACATACAAAACTTGTAGTACCAAATAAGAATGTCCATACAGACTTCTGGACATTTAAAACTCTCAAGTAGGCCCTAAAGTGTTACACTATCACATCTGTCCAAAACACAATCTTCCATACTACATAGGATATACTGTAGCTAAGATGCAAAGAGCGATGCCTACATGAGATATAAGGTAATAGCTCCCAATATTTGCAGAAGGTCCAGAGGTAAAATTCTGACTGCTGACTGTTCATGTGTGTCCTGACACAGAGGAAGGTGTGTGTATGCAACACTCAGTTGATTTAGAGACCTATTTTGTGAAATACAGTAACTGAATATAATCATAAAAAATTATGTGCAACTTGTTACGTGTACAAGGGGGTGTACTGTATATACAGTATCTGCATTACATAAGCAAGACTTTATTGCATATGTTGTGATATAACCTTGAAAAAGTTACATAAAAAAATTACAATTAAGGTTCATGTCACTAAATACCTTCCACAACTCTGAGCTTCTCAGTCAACCATGGTTGATAAAAAATTTAGTTTGGTGTACTGGAAGGAACAGACTTTAGGTGTTGCACAGGTGATTCTGAAAGAGGTTAACGGAATCATAACCCAAAAGCAACCAAGGATATTCCTGAATATCAAAGCTTTGGAGTTACAAATATAAGCATCAGCTAAATGTTGCCAAACAATTGTCCTGAAGTGAATGGCACAATAAAAATAAATAATAAAGAAAGAAATATAGTTATGGTGCAAAAATGTACAATCTCACCATACAAGGAATATTTCTTTTACTTTCAGTCCTCTTCCCATTTAAAAAGATGTATTCTGCTGTGATGCTCCTCTTCTGCAGCAGTCCCAAAATTTGGTTTATCCCTGTCACTGAACACATACCAGCACCTACACCTTCCCAAAAAGTCCCAACACTGTTCTCTGTTTATTCACACACACTGTTACTTCCTGGCTGGCCATCATCCCCCTCACTTCTAGCACGTCCTTCACATCATCCTTCTGGTCTTCTTCCTCCTCCTACCAGCCACCTCTAACTTATACACACTTCTTACTAAACTTCACTCCAATACTTTTAATATGCCCACAACACCTGAGCACACCCAGATCCACTCTCTGATCAACACTTCTTACATTTCCACATCTCCTTATTTCTCTCTCTCTTATTCTTTGCATCCTCTTTACCCCAATATACTGCATTGTCCACAAGCATGTCTTTTATTTCAGTTCTAGTTTGTTCCAGCCTCATGCATCTTGGTTTATGTTTTACACCCATAATAGTGTCACTCAACAATTATCTTTGCCTCCTTTCTTTCCTATAATTCCCAATCTACATATTACTTTTACTTCCTTTCCTACTCCTACATTGTGCTTCAGTTCATCCACTCCCAGATACCTGAGAATCTTTTACTTCCTACAAAGCTCTATCTCCAGCCATGTCTTCTCTGTATATAGGTATTTATTTTCATCACTTTGATTTTGTTTACATACTCTCATCTTTCTCCTGTTGCATACTCTTCCAAAGTCACTCACTAACTCTTGTAACTTTGCTTCCATCTACAGACTTACACCTCTCCTTATCATTCTTACTTTCACCTCTTACTATCCCATCCATTAAATTACCGTACTGAAAAACCTTGGTGACCTTACATAGGTATCCATGACATAATCTTACTCTCACTGAGGATCTGTTCTACCCAACAATCACCTAACATATGCTTCACTTCCCTATAAAAACTCTGGATAGTGTTAAAACAATTTCCCCCATCACCCCACACAGTTTTATTACTTCCCACATCACTTTTCAATCAATTTTATCATGTTTTTTGTTTTTGTTTTCTTCATGCATATGTACCACTAACAAATAATTACTGTAGCCTTTTCCAAAAAAATTTTGATCATCTTCCTTGATGCAAAAACACTCTCTATATGTACTCTTCCTTTCCTGAACCCTCACTAACTCACTCCTTTTTATTCATTCACAAACACTATATAACTCCATATATATCACCATCCACCTCTTTTGCTCTTTTTCTCTCAGATTATCCAGATTTTACTCCCCCATTTTACCCTTCAGCTTGCTTTAGGCAAGACAGGGACATCCAGGTTCTTTTCACTCTTTATATTTTCAATTAATCTCTCATCACACTGATCATATCTACTTTACCACCATATGTCACATTTAAATAATATGCTTTGCTTCTTGTTAATAGGCAAATACAGGAAGGTGAGATTACAAACCCCATACTTTACCCCCAGATTAGGAGAGGTCAGGTCCCAAGCAAATAACCTACTCGCATGAATGTACTATACATAACACAAAATAATATTAATAGCATGCATTTGTATTTGATTTGGTATAACTGGGTTTATGTGTATCCTGCCCAGTGTTTTAGAGACACTGCAGTCATACCTTTCTTTTACAGTTGTCATGGTGGCTTGCCAGTTATACATAGGCCCTCCATTACTAGTTGTAATAGCAGATGTGTTAGTGCTAGTAGAAGTGGTGGTGGTAGTAATGATGTTTGTGGAGGAGTTGTTACCACTAGAAGTACTGGAGGACACGTTTGAGACTTGAGTTGAAGAACTGATAGTGGTAGTGGTGCCAGTTGCAACGACAGAAGCCAGAAGTGGTGGTGAAGAACTGGTGGATGAGACCTGAGAAGGAGATGGTGCTGATATTGATGGTGGTGGTGGTGGTGGTGGTGGTGGTGGGGGTGGTGGAGGTGGTGGAGGAGGAGCAGTGCCTGGAGCTGCTGGAGGGCCAGCTGGCATTAAACCAACAGGTAATGTGGAGGGATGTGTGACAGATGAGGATGGAAGCACAGGCGGAAGGTGTGGAGGCACAGCTGAGCGAGCAGAGACAGGGGACGATGGAACACCAGTCCTCCGTAGCACACCAACAGCACTGGCTGTTCCAACATGATTGGTGTGCAATGTGGGAGATGCCGGAGAGGGTGGTGGGGCACTGGTGCTTCCTTCACAGCTGTTTCCTGGAAGAATGAAAAATACATATACAGTACACTTCATTTTCTGCCCGAGTTAATAAATTTAATCTCTACCCTCGTTAGTATACAGTCATGTGCCGGTTAACGTCCAGCCGAACAACGTCCGATCGCATATACGTCCGTGCCCCTCCTCCCCCAAAAACAACACTTCCGTGACGCCTGCTGGACCACCACTCCACGACCCCTGACGGAACAGCGATCCTTCCCATACTGGCCAAATATTATGTGTTAAAGGAATATCCTTCCTTAGGCTTTAGTAAGCATTTGCCTCCAGGTGTAATGTTAACCTACATCTATTGAGGATAAAATCTTTCACCTACAAATTGACAATAATACATTTGCTGTAATCAGACATATCTAGTTGCCTCAACGCAACCCCAGTTGCAATTTCAAATTCTGTGTCATTACTAAGGAATAACGAAGTCTCTGGTGCACTGCACTCTAAGATTAAGAGAAAACGGACTCAGGCATCCTGAAGCGAGAGAAAACGGACTACTCTGATGGGGGACACACGCACTCACACGTTCCACTCATACTGACAGACTTGACACTCACTTACTTGACAAGTTTTACCAACCATTAGTTGTGTACGTTATCCAGTGAATTTAGTCAATATTGTACAGTACAAGTACACTGCAATACAGTGGTCCCTCGGTTAACAATGGACCTAAGTGCAAACCTGTACTGTACATGTACTAAATGATTACGGTACTAAAATTGTTATGTCTATTGCAAATATAGATTGTTTATACAGGTATTCAAATAAATCACTATCTTACAAGAATCCCAGCAATGTAAGTTATATTCACCCAGGTCGTTTGGGTGGCAAATTATGAGAAGAGCTTAGTCACTCTTAAGGAATGATAAATAAACTCACAGGCCTTCAGCGCCAACTGTCAAATCATATCTCAAATAAATAAACAAACACCAGACACTCTGTCACCTCACCTCCCCCCCCTGCTCCCCCTCTTCCCACGCTCGCTGGCTACCTCCCTCCTTGTGTTCCCAGACAAAAGATTGGTGATTTCTTGATGCTTTAAGGTGTTTATTTTACATAATATCTCAGACTAAAGTTAAGATAAATATAATTTGCATTGCTGAAATCCTTGCAAGACAGATTAATTTAAATATAAATGTCATATATTTTGCTCAAGATAAAAAAATTATAGTACATTAGTGTACAATACTGTAGTACATTTTATAATATAAAGTTTTTCAACTTTATTTTTGGGTAGATTTACATAAATTTCTTCATTTATTTTCATCCATTTACATGCACACACAATACTAAAAGAAACATAAAAGAAATAAATGACCTTAGTGCAAAGCTGGAGTGCACATGTACTAATTTGATTACGGTACTAAAATTGTTATGTCTGGTGCAAATTATAGCATGTTTATATTCAAATTAATCAACATCTTACAAGAATCCCAGCAATGTAAATTATACTCACCCAGGTCATTTCATTGGCTTTTTATAAGAGAGAAGCTTAGTCACTTAAGAACTGATAAATAAACATGCGTTAGACCTTGGGCGCCAACTGTCAAACATACCACCTCCCCTCCCCCCACGCCCCCTCGCTCGCTCACTCCCTCTTCCCCATCTGCCCAGCGTTGCTGGAATCCTTGTAAGACAGTGAATAATTTTAATATAAACGTCATGTATTTTGCACAAGTGATAAAAATTAATCACCTGTATCACATTACAGTTGTGATTTAAGAGTAAAAGTGTATATGTACGTACGTATATAGTATTCCACATACACGTAAGTATAAATACAAAGTTTATGTGATGATCGGACAACGTCCATTTCGGTTAACATCACTTTTCCAAGAAAGTATCTAGGACGTTAACTGGCGCATGCTGTATTAAAGGAGGTTTATATAAAAATGTAAATTCCAACAATACTTTCAGTGTATGTCTTATGCTATATTCAAAGCAGAATCATATTTGCAAAGACTCACCTAAACATGAGTTTACTATACTGTACATATAAAGATCGTTTAGGTAGTGATCACCTTACAAAAACTCACATGTATCATGTATTAAAATATATTTATATATATATATATATATATATATATATATATATATATATATATATATATATATATATATATAAACGTATATACTCATCTATAACCCCTCGTTTATAGGTCGACCCTGATTTTTTGATCAAGAAATCGTTAATTTATGATATTCCTCGTTTATAGTTTGACCCACGTTTTTGAGGGTAATGGAACAGCAAAACCTTCAGTAAAAACATTCTATGTCCTATAAACTGAGGCTCGCCGTGCCTGAAACACGAGTGCCGAAGGCAAATTGTTTACCATTTATTATTACGACACTTTACACTGAAACGCGGGTAGTTTCAACAAAAATATTGTATATTTCCATTCAAATATTTATTCAAGTCAATTAGGAGGGAATATTATTGTAATACAACAGTTTTTTAACTAAACTATTCGAAAAGCGATTTCGGTAACATCTTTTGAAGGAAAGAAAGCGAAAGTCATTGTTTTCGTCACGATTTTATCCCACTTTCCACTGTAATCTGTACGTAATTTTAGCAAAAATATTACATTTCGTGAATGTATTATATCAAGCACAGTATGAATAGAATATCATTGTAATATAACAGAATTTTATCCGAAAACTATTAAAAAAACGAGTAACATCTTAAGAACATCGGAAGCTTAGGAAAAGTCTTTTGTTTTCGTCATGTATTTTTATCCTATTTTACATTGAAATACATCACGTTTCAGCAAAACTATTTATTTCCAAGAATATATTCATTCAGGCGCAGTTTAAGTGAAATATCCGTGTGATGTAATAGTTTTTTAACTGAAAACGATTCGAAAAACACGTACCCTCTAGCCCCGTTCAAGGAGAGGACTAGGAGAAGCTGTTTGGTGCTGCAGACGATGACAAGGAAAATGATTTTGATGGATTTTAATGAAAATATTCAGAAATATGGTTTTGTAGTATTTATTCAAGTCAATTAGGATAGAATATTATTGTAATACAACAGTTTTGTAACTGAAAACCATTCGAAAAGCGATTACGGTAACATCTTTTGAACGAAAGAAAGATAAAGTCATTGTTTTCGTCACGATTTTATCCAACTTTCCACTGTGATACGTACGCCATTTCAGCAAAAATATTACATTTCCGTGAATGCATTATATCAGGCACAGTATGAATAGAATACCGGTGTAACATAACATTATTTTAACCAAAAATTATTAAAAACGAGTAACTTCTTGAACATCAGAAGGTTAGGTAAAATCTTTGTTTTCGTCATGTATTTTATCCTATTTACATTAAAATACATCACGCTTTCAGCAAAACTACTATTTATTTCCGGAGAATATATTCATTCAGGCGCAGTCGGTAAAATATACATGTGATGTAACAGTTTTTAACTGAAAACGATTCAAAACACGTGTACCGTCTAGCTGATACACGCAACAGCTGGTGGTGCTATGTGATGCGCTCGCGCCGTTGTAAACAATAGGAGGTTGAAGTAGATTACGGTATTATATTAAGTGTGAAATATCGAAAAGTTTTATTACGGTATTTTTGTAGATCAATGAGAACTGTGATACCGTGATATGATATGATAAGTTAGTCTGTGCTAAGAACTTCAACATAGACCACTGAAAGCACGCTAAGGTAATTTCGCCTATTGTAAGTTGGTGAGCTTCATTTGCTGAAGGAACTGCACAACTTTTCATAACTACAGGCTCGGTTAACGTAACTCAACTGCTCCAGAAGGTCGCTTGTTAAACCAAACGCTTCAAGAACCCAAACCATTGTTTCAATGGGTTTTGTAATTGGTTCCAGCTCACCTAAAATTTCCTAAATTCAATAAAAATGGTAGAAAAGTTCACTTACTTTGAGGTGTATGTAGAAGGCTCCTGGATGATGATGATGATGATGGGATTTAGAATGGGGTGGAGGAGAAGGAAGAAGAGAAGGCATTGGGGTGGAAGAGAAGTCACCCCATGGTGCCATTTCACCCATAAAATTTTAGCTCTCTGGTTTAATTCAAGATTATTTTTAAATCAATGCTGCACTGCATTATATATTGTCAATATATAAATATATTTCAAAATGACCAATAATTTGCTTGGAAACACAGAAAAAAAAGCGTTTAGTTGAAGAGAGTCTCAAGCAAGATGTTACCTCCAGTGAAACAGAGAGAGACTGACTTCGTTTGCGTTAAGAGGCTGGATGCACATTAAACTAGTCACTTTACCTTCAATTTTGTTCAATAATTGTTAAAATGACTAAAAAATAGAATATTAAACTTTTAAAATTATTGAATAGTATAAACTTCTTGATATTTACAAAAATAGTAAGGAATTTAAGCCCTAGAACCGATTAATGTATTGGCGGACTGATACTAAAGCTGGTTGCCCGGTCAGTGCAAGCGAAACATGTTGAGGTCGGTTCAGAAGAAGTTCGTTGTTTAATTTTTCGTAACCAATTGAAGATCCTTATGGAAGGCAGTTCGTTAATCGAAATTACGTTAACCGAGGTGTTCGTTAAACGAGGGGTCACTGTAATTGGTACATAATTTACTTTTCCATTGTTTACTGGCAGTAAATGGTAAATATTTTTCATGTCTGAAGCTAAAAGTTGCTCCTCGCCCTTCCCAACATGCACGGGTTCAACCTAACAAAACTATTACGCATGTATAGGACGACCCCCAATTTTTTGCCTAAAAATTTGGTCTTAAAAACTCGAACTATACACGAGCATGTATGTATGTATGTATGTATGTATGTATGTATATATATGTATATATGTATATATATATATATATATATATATATATATATATATATATGTATGTATGTATGTATGTATGTATGTATGTATGTATGTATGTATATATATATATATATATATATATATATATATATATATATATATATATATATATATATACATACATACATACATACATACATACATACATACATACATACATACATACATACATACATACATACATACATACATATATATATATATATATATATATATATATATATATATATATATATATATATACAGTTGAATCCCACTTAACGCGTCAATTGAACCCAGAGGGTCCTGCTAAGTGAAAACCAAGTAGTGAATAACAGAACATATGGGATTAATTCCAATAGAACCCAGCCCGACCCCCAAACTCCACTTTTTACGACAAATAACTATGTTGTAGTAAAAATAACATCTTAATTTTATGATGGTACATGCACACAATTAATACTTAAGAGAAATAGAGAAATACAGTCGCTAGTTAATGTCCATTCAAATAATGGACTCAACTCCCTCCCCTCTTTTCTCACACTTCTGGCTCTTCCCTCTGAGAAATTTTTGGGGAAAACCAGGTATAGTAATAAATAATTCCTCAAACTAAAGTTAGGATAATATAATTGACATTGCTGACTTTGTAAGACCAGGAATATTTTGAATATAAATGTCATATATTTTTCACAAAAGATAACATATTTACTCAGAATAAACTTTACATCTAAAATTTGTATGTCTAATGCAAAATCTATGATGTTTATATTCAAAATGATCAGCAAATTGTAAGAATTCCAGCAATGTAAATTATATTCTGGCCGGATAATTTGTATGAATTTTATGAGCTAAACAAATATCTTCAGTTAATAAAAAAAAATATTCTTCAACACTATCTGTCAATCAAAGTACCCCACCTTGCCTTCTCTTCCAACCACGTGGTCAGTCCCCAACCTCCCCACCCCCCACCAATCCTCCATTCAAGAGTTTTTAACATTTAGTATTAAATAATACCTCAGATTAAAGTTAGGATAATATAATTGACATTGCTGGATTCCTTGTAAGACCAGGAATATTTTGAATATAAATGTCATATATTTTGGACAAAAGATAACATAATTACCTAGAGAACAGTTTTTATCTAAAAATTGCATGTTTAATGCAAAATATATGTTGTTTATATTCAAAATGATCACCAAATTATAAGAATTCCAGTGTAAATTATATTCTGACCGGTAATTTGTATGAATTTTATGAGCTAAAACAGGCAGGTGGCGGTGGGGGTAGCGACCAAAAATAGCTTCGAGCGGACACTCACCGCTATATGATGAAAAAATGCGTTATGAAAGTTCAGCTTTGGCAAGGCACCGCTGTATATGCTAAAACGCTATGAAAGGCTATAAGCTGGGTATATATATATATATATATATATATATATATATATATATATATATATATATATATATATATATATACAGTAGTACCTCATACATAAACGGTCAATTGAATGTTAAGTGAACAACAGAACATATGGGATTAATTCCATAGAGATCAGACTACCCCAAACTCTACTTTTTCCGACACAATACCTATGTTCTAGTAAAAATAACATCTTAATTTTATGATGGTACATGCACACAATTAATACTTAAGAGAAATGAGAAATACAGTCGCCAAGTTAATGTCCATTCAAATAATGGACTCAACTCCCTCCTCTTCTCACATCACTCGCTGGTTTTCCCTCTTTGAGAAATTTTGGGAAAACCACTAAATTTTAATAAATAATACCTCAAACTAAAGTTAGGATAATATAATTGACATTGCTGGATTCCTTGTAAGACCAGGAATATTTTGAATATAAATGTCATATATTTTGCACAAAAGATAACATATTTACTCAGAGTAAACATTATAACTAAAATTTGTATGTCTAATGCAAAATCTATGATGTTTATATTCAAAATGATCATCAAAATCTATGATGTTTATATTCAAAATGATCATCAAATTGTAAGAATTCCAGCAATGTAAATTATATTCTGGCCGGGTAATTTGTATGAATTTTATGAGCTAAAACAAATATCTTCAGTTAATAAAAAAAAAAATATTCTTCATGACATTATCTGTCAATCAAAGTACCCCACCTTGCCTCTTCCAACCGCCAGGTGGTCGGTCTGTCCCAACCTCCCACCCCCCACCAATCCTCCCTTCAAGAGAAATGTTGGGTGAAAAACTAAATTTTAACATTTAGTATTAAATAATACCTCAGATTAAAGTTAGGATAATATAATTGACATTGCTGGATTCCTTGTAAGACCAGGAATATTTTGAATATAAATGTCATATATTTGCACAAAAGATAACATATTTACTCAGAGTAAACATTATATCTAAAATTTGTATGTCTAATGCAAAATCTATGATGTTTATATTCAAAGATCATCAAATTGTAAGAATTCCAGCAATGTAAATTATATTCTGACCGGTAATTTGTATGAATTTTATGAGCTAAAACAAATATCTTCAGTTAATAAAAAAATATTCTTCACACCGTCCAGATGGTCAGTCGTCCTCCTCACCCCACCAACCCTCCCTACCAGATGTGTGGAAAACCAGAATATTTACCTTTTAGTAATAAATAATACTCAAACTAAAGTTAGGAGAATATAATAAGGATTCCTTGTAAGACCAGGAATATTTTGAATACAAATGTCATATATTTTGCACAAAAAATAATATATTTACTCAGAGTAAACATTATATCTAAAATTTGTATGTCTAATGCAAAATCTATGATGTTTATATTCAAAATGATCATCATATTGTAAGAATTCCAGCAATGTAAATTATATTCTGCCGGGTAATTTGTATGAATTTTACAAAAAAAAAAAAAAAAAATTTTATACTTCACCGCGATATGATGAGTAGATGAACCGTTAAGTGAAAGTGTAATCGAGGACAATCACAGTATATGAGAAATCGCATGCTTAAAACCGTTTAAGCGGATATTATTGTATATATATATATATATATATATATATATATATATATATATATATATATATATATATATATATATATATATATATATATATATATATATATATATATATATATATATATATATATATATATATATATATATATATATATATATATATATATATTTTATAAGGCACTGGCACTGGAATGACTGCAGAACCCCTCTCTATTATCGGAGGCTCTGCAACCCCATTAAAACAGCACTGTGTAATTTCACTATAATTCCCATATTATTTAGGCTCATTTGGTGCTGGGTTCATGAAAAAAAAAATCCCACACTCAACCCCAGATAAGTTATTATGATGTATTAAAATTCCTGCTGCTCTGTTTACATGGATGAACAATTGTAACCACCCAGCCTGCCTGGTAAGGAGCTGTAATTGAAATTTTAAATATTCTAAATGTGTTTAATTATTTCAAGGTCATTAATTAATACAAACTTCTCAAAGTTTGAATTTTCGAACACAGATCCTAAACCAGCATGTAATGGAGCACCTTTCTATGAAATCTGAACCAAATTTAAGGTTTGACCTTATGTGCTGAAATGCAAAGTCAGGAGTTTTTGAGGCAACAAACGCCTTTTTTCTAGAAAGTGAAAACTAACGAAGGCCATATTAAAAAAGGGATATAGTACATACAGTGGGGTATGCTATAACGAATGTAATTGGTTCTAGAACCTTGTTCGTTATAGCATTCGTTCGTTATAGGATTAATCCGTTCCAGGCCCCCAAATACAACCACTTAACACTGAAAAATATAATATTAAATTGTAAAAAAGTGCATAAATATGCATCTAAACCCTTGAAATAAAGAATATCATTAATACTTGTACAGAAACAATAAATTAGTAAAAAAAAAAATAAAAATTTATAATGTTCATGTAGGAGTTTGCGTCAGTATAGCATTATCAATTTTATAGGTAAAACCGTTCGTTATAGGAATATTCATAGTAGGATCCGTTCGTTATAGCATACCCCACTGTACATACATTTATTGTGCTTCATATGCAAAATAAACATTTCATTGAAGATGTTTAAATCAAGAGCATTTTATACAATGGAGTAATTACAGTAGGTACTTCTCTGCCAAACAATATATGGAAGAAATTTTGAAAAAAAAATCAATTATATGGAATTTTTAATATAAAAAAAATTATTCTCGTTGGAGATGCATATTTCTTAAAACACGTTAAGAGACTAAGAGTGAGTTACCAGTAGTTTAGTTGCAACATATAGGACATTTTGAAATACCAAGTGACTAGTGGGCCAATAGCATACAACTAGTAGGCCAAATACACAGGGTAGCTAAAAAAAGTCCCTGATCTAGTTTCAATATTAGTTACAATGTAAAATGAGATTAAATCTTGATGAAATACAGTAGAATAAATGATATTTTTAATACTGGATCCACATTTTGAACTTCTACAATTAAAGTGATCTAATGCAAAATACTTGGGAACTCTTATATAAGTCAAACAATGAAATAACACAAATATATACAGTACAATAAACCCATAGATGATCTAGGAGACCTGTAATGTAACATAACACTTTTCAATCTTATTATATAAAACTCTGAAACAGTGAGTCTAACCTGTGGACAATGGTGTAGCTGCAGAGTGAGCGATGTTGGCTTGGTGGTTGGAAGGCAGCCCTGGGGAGGAGCATGACGAGGAGGGAATGAAGCTGTCACCTTTTTTCATTCCTCCTGGAGTATACACCAGACACTCCTCAGAGGAACTCAGATCAGGGTCAAGCATGTTACGCAGCCGAGAGAACGCACCGTTGCAGGGGGGTGTTACCTGACCAGGACATTGTTGTAGTGTTGTCACACTCACAACCTGTTACAAGAAAATGGTGTACATCAATAAGCTGTTGTTACAAACTAATGCTACATTAATTAATTCATACATAGTGATAGCATTTCCTTTAGAAATACAGTACTGTAGTTTACAACTTTGTCCTGTTAGAAGGAGCCACTTTAAGAAAAATTTCAATAGAAGAAAATGTTCTCATTTCTCAAATATCAAAAACCATTAGAGCAATTGTAAATTTTATACTTTCACCTTTACAGTTTCTTCAACCAAAACACAAACCTATGTCACCACCTTGCAGCCGACCAAAGACTAATTTACCATAAATATTATAAGGTGTTAGCAACAACTCAATAATGTAGTGCAGAAGGTGGGACAAGAGGTGCAGTGAAGCAGATGACAGAATGCAGAATGTTGTTAACTTTAAGACTAGTATCCTGTAGAGCTAAAGATAGCCTTGATGGCAAACACAAAACCTGAATTAACGCCCCTCCCTTCCGCAAATAATCATCACTGAATATACTGTAATCTTAATTTATATAAATTTTCACATCGTAATGTAAAAGTGACGCAAATTATAGCACCCTTCAGGATAGTATCTGTTTGCAATATAAAACAATATTTTCCCTATGTTACAGACACGTATTTTCATTGGATTTGCTGCAAAAGTAAATGCATAAGTAAATAAATAAGAAGTCAAGCTCTGTATTTACTCAACCACCACAGGTCATTTATATAATGGTAAACAGCATAAATTAGATGAGTGTCATACAGACAGCACAACAAATTGTCTACAGTACTTACATATGGATGTTAGACATGTTATCTTGCAGAACAGTAGTTAGTTGTACTGTCACCTCACAACTTTGAGAGGCCAGGATTAGTTCCCAGGTGGTCCAATATGCTGGGCAAGGTTTTGTAAACCTCCTGCCTGCTTTCACCTATAGCAAAAAGTTATGGTTTAACAATAAGTTGTATTTACCAAAATTACTGCACAGTAAAATGTTAGGACTTAGTAGAGTACAGTATTACAATTCCTGTAATACAGTACAGTATTGTATACTTACGTATGGATGAAACTGATGAAAGATGTTTTGTTTGAAGATGCTGCCCACAGTCCAGAGCAAGTAGGACGTGATGTTGACATACACTTGCAACACACAATTCTTTCTTGAAGGCAATTTTATATAAATTTCTCTTTAAGCTACAACAAAAAACTAAATATTTTATCAAAAGAACTATAAAATATAATACAGAGATCAAAGGACGTGCATCCATCACGATCAGTGGTGGGTAACTGACCACAAGGTACAGTCACAGACTCTTCCATGGAACACCCAGCCAGACAACCAGACAGGTAGAATCAGCTGATGATCTGGTAACAGTCTGTGTGTGCAGGGGTGGGAGGGAGAGGAGGGAGATGGGGAAGTACTTGAGTTCCGGGTTGCATAATATAATCACATATTATTTCGCACACAAAAGATTGATGGAAGTGGAAGAGGTGATTATGGTATAGGAATACATATTTACAGTAGCATTATGTTGTTTGATTTATTGGGGTGTAATTGGTTATCTCTAATCTAAGGCTCTAAAGCCAGAGAAACACGTAACCTTTACCTCCCCGATTACTGCTACTCTTCCTCGGGTAAGGACAGTATGGGAAAGCAGATGCCAGTCAATGATTGATGTCGACCAATTTCTTAGTTATAATTATTTTCAAACCGACATAACTTTAAGCTGATGCACATTTTTAGGCGATTCAACTGCTCTTATATGCACATTATATTTCATTAAAGCAATAATAGCATACTGTATAATGAAACCATATGCTGTCGTAAATCACGTTTCGATCTAGCCTAGCACAAGGTAAACCAAATGACCTCTTTACACTTATCGTTTATGATGTTGGGAAGTTACCTTGTGGCGCTGGGCCATCTGTAGCGCACTCACTCACGCACGCACACTCACACACACACTCACACAAACCTTATCCTTTATTTTCACAAGTAATGAAATTAATAATGACATGTGACGTAAAAAAAACAAGTGTTTAGAGATATAAATGCATCCGCCCCTGAATGGAATACAAAACAAAATAGTGAAAACAATGATAATTTGCTTGTTGATCACGTAACAAGTGTCAACAGCCAATCAAAACTCATCCGAGGTATTGTCGCGACCCTAGAAATCATAGAACTCAACAGAAAGCTCTTAGACTTCAAGATGAACCGTCGTAACACCCAGCTAGCTTTGAGATGTCGCATTGTGAGCCTATGAGAAGCTGGACTCTTTATCCCAGCCGTATCCTGTGAGCTTGGAATATCAACCGCTACTGTAATCAAGTGGATTAGAAGATGGGAGGAGAGTGGCAACCTGAATGACCTTGGTAAGTATTACTGATCAGACTGACATATTATTGGTGATTACACAGACAATCAAATATATTTACTTAGTATAAAAAATTAGTCTTTTAATCAGCATTTTCTTTTTGATTGAGAGAAACATCCCCGACCACGAGTGACTACTCCTGAAGATGAAACAAGGATCTTGAGAACAGCTGAGGACAACCCTTTCAATAATGCTGTTGCAATTCACGAAGATCTGCGGCTGGATGTGAGCGCCAGAACTGTCCGGAGGTGGGTTCATGAGGAGGGTATCCACCACAGGATTCCCGCCAAGAAAGAACGACTGACAGAGGAACACCGTGCTGCCAGAGTTGCCTTCACTCACTGACATGCTGACCAGTCGCTGGAATTCTGGGACAGAGTTGTCTTCACAGACAAAAAGACCTTTCCATCGACCAATCACGGCAGAATACACATGTGGAGGTGCAACAACACTAGGTAACAATAATACAACATTTTGTCCAGAGCACCAATTAACAAATGCAATAAAACACACAAATACAAAGGTTCGACCTTTTATGAAGTCTTACACTTATGGTAACATTTCAGGAACTGCTGAATGTAAATTACATGCAAAGGTTATAAGTCAAGTAAACCTGCTTTTTAGACCTGCTAAAACTACTACTCCAAACCTATGATATAAATAAATACTACAGTGCTACCTCTACTCTCTCGGCAAGGCACACATCGATAATGACTATGTGTATTTTATTTGTCCAGCTTTATTCTAAATAAAATACCAAATTGGAACCCATGAAGTTGCTAGTTATATATTAAGCGAAAGTAATTTGAAGATAATTAAAGTAAAGGATTCCAGCAATATTGATAAGTTACACAAATTATAATGCATCATGACATTAAAAGCTGCAATTTTCTAACAACAGGCATGACCGCGAGCATATTTACGAGGAGGCTCATAGTGAACGCAGCACCTGTATGTCTGTCCATGGTGTGGGGGACTTGGTTCAAATCGACAGGAGATTTACAGTACAGAAGTATCTGGACATTTTGGAGAATTTTTTTTTGCTCTCTCTGCAGAAAAGATTAAGAATGACCATTTACAGTGCAAATAATCAAACATTGTAATACTTTCCTAAATTTAATAATCCCTTCTACTTCCATTACTTTGAAATGTATAAAATAAAATATGATTATATTATGTGACACGAAACTCAAGAACTCCCCCATCTTCCCCCCTCCCCTCTCCCTCCCACCCCCACACACACACACTGTTACCAGATCCTCAGCTGATTCTACCTCTCTGGTCGTCTGGCAGATTCCGCGACTTTACATCTTGAGACAAAGATTAAGCATGATTTGAGTTGCCAAGTATTCAAATATCCAATACAAAGTACAGCATGTCCTGATAATTCAGGATTTTTAATTTGCGATCCTCTTATTATTCGTGGATGACACCCTGGATGTACCCAAGAAAGTCTGCGGGTAGTTTTAAAGTTAACTGCATTTTCGCGGCTGGGACAGTGAGCCATTTGTTCTAGAGACAATAATTTCCTTTACCTATTTTGTATGTGTGTGTGTGTATACATACATACATACATACACACACACACACACAAAATACAAATAAATAATAATAGGAAAATCCTCACAAATAATCAAAAACAAGACAGCAAAATGTATCAAAACGTAGAAAGAAATGTGAGTCTACCCTCAAGTCATCTCTGTGCTTTGTTAATAAAGTTAACTTCACTAACAAAGCACGGAGGGAGGACTTACTGTATGCCGCGAAAATTAGGAATGTTGAGGAACATCACCCGGGGTCACCTTATTGAACGTAGAGGAACGTCACCCGGGCTTAAAGGGTTAAACATTATTCTCTGACAGCACCAACAAAATCTTTCTTCTTTTTGGCTATACCAACAATGCCACCACCATTTTATGACATTCATGTAAGCTTTAAAAATACTGTAACTCATATTTAATACAGTAAAACCCTCTTAATCTGGACTCTTTATCTGGATTTCTGCTTTATTTCGACTGGCAAACCACTCCAGACTAATTTCTGTTAATCTGGATTGAATCTGGATTAACATGAAATAGTCCAGATCTACCCACGTGGTGACAAAAATAAATAAAAACTTTTGAATCACTTGACTCACTAACCTACAATATACTGTACATTCTTGTACAAGCTGGACATACAGTATTTACCACAGAGTTAGTGATGCTGTTGATGGTTGATTTTTTCAAGTTATATTTCTCCATCAAAACTTTTGCAGACACACCTTTATCATGATCTTCCAAACTGCTAGCTTGTCTTTCACACTAAACTCCTTTCTGGCCCTCTTCTGACTTCCCTTTAAAAGTGTCTTACCTTTGGGAGCTATGCTAATTAGTCCAAAAAGTCACAAATAGTCCATAGGAGTCAAACGATGCACACACAAGGGCTGTAGCAGTGCAATTGGCTTGTCAACAAAGTGGCTGGGGCTGGAGCTCGTGAGGGCCAGACTGAAACCCGGATTTTTCCCGGTTGATCCAGATTAACCCTTAAGCCCCGGGTTAGGGTGCCGCTGGCAGTACCCCCCACCCAGGGGTAAATCAGAAAAACCAACTTTTCCACAAATTATTTTTAACCTTTTTAAATGATGAAACAATAAGATATAAGTAAGAAAAACTATATATTGACCCTCTAGAAACTTCCCTGTGGCCGCAGTGGCGAGGGAGGTAAGTGGACAGTGTTGTTTTGACAGCCGACGCTCGTGGTCACCTACGCACTTAGCAGCTATTTTTAGCGTGCCTTGGTGTCCAAGATGGCCAGTAGTGCATATATTTACTGATCATAATACTCATTTGCAGTAAATAATTAATTTAGAATATTTTATTTGCATTATTCATAAAAAGTGCTTGGCAACACACACACAGTCGGTCGCCAGGCTGTCTTTGTGTTTGGTAGAGCAAGTAATGCCTAAAATAATAAAAATTCCACAAATAAATATATTTATAACAATCATAGCATTATTTTCCAGTAATACTACACTTCAATACAACTACACTACTTTTAGCAATATTACTTTGATACAACATGATAAAATGAACAAACAATGAAAATGAAACAAACAAAAGTAGGTAATTCCGTTCAGGAAGTCCCCCTGTGGCCGAGCGTGTGGCGTGACAGGTAAATAGTCACGCTGGAACCTGATAACCCGCGATGGGCATTTAAACAGTAGTGGGAAAAGGCGTGCGTTCTGGAACGTCACCCGGGGCGCGCGAGTCGGACATTCTGGAACGTCACCCGGGGGGCGCTAGTAGGGCGTTCTGGAACGTCACCTGGGGTCTAAGGGTTAAATACCTCCAAAATCATTTTCTCCAGAAATTTGCTTAATATGGACCGGATTTCTTTCAATTAGTTTGAATTAAGAAGGTTTTTACTTAATTTCAATCTCCAGTTATTAAAAATGAGTGTACAGTGGTCCCTCGGTTAATGAGCACAATCCGTTCCAGCAGGTTGCTCGTTAACCAAAAAACTTGTTAACCGAAACCATTGTTTCAATGGGTTTTTGGGTAATTGGTTCCAG